TACAAATAAAATAAATATTTTTATCGTAATCGGATCATACGCAGAGTAATCGCAAGAATCAGAAAAGGATAACAAACCTTGTTAACAAGCCTCAATGCTTTCGGGAACGGTGTCTCGGCCGGCCTTACCTCGGACGAGGGAACGGAGAAATCGATGTAATCCGCGATATCGTGCCGTTCAGCTCGCCAGCCAGCGAGCTGGTTTGGCTTGATCAGTTCGCTTGCTCGGTGAGCTAGACGGTCCCGTACAGCTTTCCTGTTTTGGGGAGTAGGACGTTACGGCCGTTTTTTGCTAGTTTGGCCAATCGGACAATCGTGGATTGTTTTATTCGATTTTATGCATGATGACGATTGTTAAGTTTACAGAATTCCTTTGTTCGGAAAGTCCTTAGAATTCTTCTCGACGCTTTTTCGTATTTTTATAAACCTATTCTTAACTTTGCGGAAAGTTTTGGTCGTTGAATCCCTCGTAACCAATTTTGACCCCAACAGCAAAGCAGAAGTCTCTAGAGATGTATTCATTCATTTAGCGGATGGTTTTTCGGCATCCCGGCCTGCAGCCGACAATCAAGGAGGAATTTCAGCATTCAAGGGAGCTTCCAGCAGTTCATCCGCCTCATTCTCATCCACTGTCTGAATCAGGGCCTTCTTTTGATGATTTATTCTCCGGGAGATGCTCAGTAGGCATCACCTCAGAAGTCAATACTTCATGGGTAGGGTCCGACTGGTTATGGTTTTCATTACATAAGACCGCCATGGGAATCATGGCCTTAACATTTCCCATCTCCACTGAAGCACATGTTTTCTTCTTCGCAGCTTTGACCACTCTCTGTCTTCCTTCATGCAAGGGACGTCGGAACATTAACCAAATGCTTAAGATGAACAGCAGTATGATCTGGGAACTAAATTACCATCAGTTATGTTATGCAATCAAGATTCTCTTGTATCCTCTTCGGCCAAGCTTCGCGGTTACGAGCCGCAACCTTTTATACGTTTTCAAGAAAGCCTTCCGGGCATGAAGCAGTGCTTGAATGCTAAACTGCATGATAAGTGAACCAACCATCAAAACACACATTGATAAAGCAAAAAATAAAACTCCAACTATCTACCAAGTGTTGGGGTCCACAACACCTACAGATCAGTCGGCGGTTCCTCGAATTTCACTCGAGTTTTAATATAAAATAGTATTTTTTTCCAGTTGCGAGTTGTCAAGGGATGACCAGTAATGATGTTCATATGCGGCTTCACATACTGCATGCTTAAGTCCTCAAAAACCATGACGCTCATAGACACGTCTATTTCGGCAGCCATAAACATCAACGGAATAGCAAGTCTGATGGAACCCGGTATCCATTGGATAGTGTCATGTATCTTCTACGGCAGTAAGCGGTGATCAAAGAGGAATCGGGAACCACGAATTGGTGTCCTTCTCAAAACATGTTTGTATATGCAAGTGTTTCCCAATGGAAGAGTCCGTGGAATGATAAATGCGAATCCATGAGATATGCCTACTCGTTCCAGCAGAGTTATCACCCTTGAGGACTCAGATCGCATCGGCTGAATGGCTGGTAATCTTGAGAATCGGCTTTGGAAAACCACAGTTGGTCCTCGGCAAGAGGAGCCTGGTAGATGAAACGTCCATTGCGATGAAAATTAATCGGGCGAAGAAGTTTTTTGCAAGGGATATAGAAGCCCTTCTTCGTCCTTGGAGTTATACTCAGACGGGTCTCGGGTAGAATGATCACCTGGAAGAAGGACCACCCTCTGATGCTTGAATAGTACCATCAACTCTAAACTGTTCCTCAGGATGTAGGACCCAGTATTACTGATCAAAATTGAGTGTGGCGATATCCCTTAAACCTCGACAATAATCTCTGATTAAATCATTTAGCTGGGCCAGATCCACCTGAAAATAATCGGATCTGGACTGGAGGAATTTTCAATTTCTTTTCCTTTCGATATTTTTTCAAGCTAGAGGCATAATTTCATGTTGATCCCATAACAGTCGATGATCAAACAAAAATTCAGAGTTTTCCCCAGTTAAGTGGATGAAAGATCGAGCTTCACACAGCTAAAAATCAAAAGATAACGGAAGGAAGAAGAGAAAAGAAAAATACTAAATACGAGAAAGTATAGAGAGAGAGTCGAGAGAAAACTACCTTTGAAGACAAGGATAATATTGAAGAAGTGAGGACTCGCTCCTCATTTTATAGAAGACAGGAACATCTATCGAGGTGTATATAATAAAAATAAAACCTAAGAATGATGCCACGTCTCCCGCCTTTATAGGAGAAATGCATCCAATCCTCAAGCAAACCAGAAGTCAGTTTTGAAATTAAAATGCAATTGAAAAAACAAATAGAGGAGCATTTCAGAATTATTACGTTGGTAAGTCTTGAAACGTTCAAACAAATTTCGCCGAGCTCAGTACTCTTCACGCATATTCCTGAAAATTCATTGTGAATGGCTTCTTTTTCGTAATGAACTAGGGGGCTTACTGTTGGGGAGGTATTGCATCCCCTAACAAAGCTATTGAATACTAAAATTGACCCATTTATGATGAAGCCAATTAAGACAAAACTCAGCTCAATCGTTTAAATTAGTTCAACCGACTTAAGGGAGACCAAGTATAAAGGGAGAAGAGAATGCACTAAGGAAGGCCTTTCACAAACATATACAGACTGGCAGCAAGATCTAGGGTTTCTTTAGTTAACGTTACTCTCGTCCAACACTTTTTCATCTTTCTCACGATCATTAATCAAATCTCATTGTAAGTCTTCACTCAATAGATCAAACAAACGTCTTTCAAATAACCCATCAATTTCGTGTATACTCTTAATACCTACCAAACTCGCATTAAACACTTAAAACCCACTTGATATCAGAATTAATTAGTTAAACTAAATTAATATTAAGAAAATGCGAGTTTAGTATTTTTTTTCTCTCTGTGAACAGTTTTACTAAACTGTCATTTCATTTATTATCATCATATGAAAGAGTTTACTGGAAGCATGTGGTCTATTATCTTTTAGTTAGTGTTTTAGGTTTATACACACAAATTAAGTAAATCATTTAATATGCATATTTCAAAAAAATAAAAACATCATTACATATACATTTTGTCATATTTCAACGACATTTATTTTTAAATGAAAATTTTACTCTACAACGATAATTAAACTGAAACAGAAAGAATAATATTTAGGTCCAAATAATTATGATAATTACCAAATCCTATATATTAATACAGAAGTCGTGACTTCACTTTATATGTGATGTTTTTTTTTTAATTTGGACCATCACTTAGAAATTTTATTAAAATTAATAATATATAGAATCTTTACATATAAATATATTTATTTATAAATTCTAACAAATCTGTTTTAAAATATTTTTATAAGATTTTCATTTTCGATATTATCTTTAAATATTGTCACTAAATTCTAAAACAATTTGAAATATTATTATACATTAATATATTCAGTTAAAGTTTATAAAACAAAAAATAAAAAATTATATTATCTATTATATAATCATAATCAATCATATTAAAAGAAAACTATTATATTGAGCTAAATATAATAAAACTGTATTAAATTGATAAGTTTATATATTTTATTTTCGTAAGTATAAAATATTTATGTTCAAAAATAAATTTTAATATGTTGGTAAGACGGGTTAACGTTAGCAAACTATATAATACATGTATATAAATTAATTGTATTTCATTAAAGCTAATAATATAAAATCTTTGTAACTACTTTAATCATGATATCTTTCCATTTAAAATATATATATATATATATATTTCTATATTGAATTTTAAAAATTCTAATAAATCTGTGTAAAATATAGTTACAATAGTTTAATGTATTTCAAGTTATAGTTTATAGAATGAAAAAATCAAATTATATCCTATTTTATTTACTTTATAGTCATAATCATCATGTTAAAAGACAATTATTATATTGAACTAAATATGATAAAAGTATATTAAATTTATAAATTTTATTTTCATAAATCTTAACTATTTATTTTAAAAATATAATATGATGACAGAATGGTATATACAGTAACATATGTGAGACTTTTGTATATACAATAATATATTATCTAAAATGAATAAACATAAAAAATATTGGTAAAATAAAATTCAACTTTGAAGGGTGGATCAGAATTTACTATAAATTAAATACAAAATAATTTTCAAATAGGTTTTCTCATGAATATATTAATTTTCTCAATAACTAAATGCAAATATAATAAGATAAATATATAATAAGAAGTGACAAATAAATATGGTTTTACATAATTGATTAATATAACATGTAAATTATAAAGTTGTTGTATTTGAAATAGTTATATAAAAATTTAAATATAAGAGTAACGCTAAAAAATATACCACTTATGTTCTAAAAAATTATTTATGTATATAAAAGTGAAAACAAACACTTGCACGGTTGCACGGACCAAAATCTAGTGAAATATTAAAGTATAGTTAACGCTACTTTTTCCATCTTTTTATTGATAGTTTTTCTTATTAGCTAAGAGCTACTTGCTACTTAGGAATTTGTCGTTCTATTATATAGATATGAAATCTCTCGCCTAGTTTTTTTTTTTCTTATACGTTATTTCTCGCCTAGTTATTTATTACCAGGTTAGCTTTTTTAAATGATTGCAATAAACCAATCACGATTGAGATAAAGAATCCAACGTTTTTTCAATGATAAATAGCAGGGCACTGTAAAAAGCCACGGGTTTCATGTCACCTAAACCTCTCCCAAAATATTAATTAAGAGACTAATTAGACAAGAAAATGATAAATAGCAGGGCACTGTAAAAAGCCACGGGTTTCATGTCACCTAAACCTCTCCCAAAATATTAGTTAAGAGACTAATTAGACAAGAAAATGCATACGTCATTATTCTTTGCAAAGGCTATATAAACCCTAGATTGGCTTAAGGTTCCATACAACACAATACATACATCTATAAATTAACCATGAAGTATTTTGGGCTCATACTAACTTTTCTACTAGCTGTGGCTACTTGCAAAGCTTATGAAGAAATTACTTGCGAAGAGAACGTGCCATTCACATGTGGTCAAATTGATCGTCTCAACAGTAGCAACTTCGAGAAAGACTTCATCTTCGGTGTTGCATCTTCTGCTTACCAGGCATGTAATATAAATTAATTATTAACATGTGTTGGAAGACGTCACTGTATATTCAAGTATAAGAAACCATTCAAAAACACTAAAATCCAACGTTGCATGGTTGATTCTTTTCATTTCAGATCGAAGGTTGCACAGGTCGTGGACTTAACGTTTGGGATGGCTTCAGTCACCGATACCCAAGTTTGTCTATGCATGGTTACATGTTTATATAATGTCGGGTATGTGTATCTGTACATTTATAGTAATGATTTGCTTACTATCAGATAAAGCAGGACCCGATCATGGAAATGGAGACACTACTTGTGACTCGTATGCGTACTGGGAGGTAACTAAATCCCTCATATATGAAAAAAAATAATAATAAAGAACAAATTCCTCATATATATTTAATATACACACACATATATATATATATGTTCAGTGCTTCCCTAATAGTTGTCCCTAATAGTTGTGAGGCTTAGCAAATTAAATATATGTATCCTTATGGTTCTTTTACCTGATTAATTTCATTTGTGAGTTATATATTATTATAAACTAAATACACGAAAAATATTATTTTATCATATATATTTCAGTATTTAAAAAAACAATTAACCTATTTTAATAGTTTTCTCAAGTATTTCAAGTTAACAAGAAAAACACTATACTGCCAGTATCTGGGTTTTCATTGCAAATAATAACTACAAATATTTCAACAAATTAACTAAAAATTATCTAAAACATCAGAAAACTTTATTAAATGGGAAAATAAAAAGGCTCATCTTATTGCAATAACTTTTAATGATCTAATGGTAAAACAAGACAATTAATAAGTAATAAACTCAACTAAAAGGAAATGATCCTAAATGATTATAATAAAAAAAAAACATAAAGTATAGGATAGACCATGATATTAACTGAACTGTGTGATAAAATAAAACCGGAATTTACTAGCACTACGCTCACAATTACATTTCTAAATGTGGCCTCTAAATTACTAAACAAATAGTGGCTTGAAGCACATGCTTTACGTGCTTTTAGGGCGGAACGGGTCTGTATCTGTTCTATTACTCACTGAATTATGTATCAACTAAGTGTTGATTGACCTGCGATAATTTATATATAAACCAGAACGATATAGAGGTGATCGACGAACTCAGCGCTACTGGCTACAGATTCTCCATTGCGTGGTCAAGAATCATTCCAAGTATGTACACATTATTGACCATGTATATATATACATATATATTCTTGGAACCAAAAATTGCAAGCCTATTATATATCGTAATATTCGATTGTGATTGTTTGGAAAGAATAAATATACGATTCATATGAACAGGAGGAAAAAGGAGCCGGGGAGTAAACCAAGAAGGTATTAACTACTACCACAGACTCATAGATGGCCTCATCGAGAAGGGTATAACACCTTTCGTTACGCTCTTCCACTGGGACCTTCCTCAAGTACTACAAGATGATTATGAAGGTTTCTTGGATCCGCAGATCATGTATGTTATATTATGTCACGCATGCTGCTTATTAAGAAAAGACGAAAACATACAAAGTTTGCTATTGGGTCAATGAAATGATTTTGTAATATTTGCAGAGACGATTTCAGAGATTACGTGGATCTATGTTTCAAAGAATTCGGTGATAAAGTAAAGAACTGGATCACGATCAACCAGCTCTACTCAGTGCCTACTAGAGGCTATGGATCAGGATCAGATGCACCCGGTCGATGTTCTCCAATGGTTGATCCTACATGTTACGCCGGAAATTCTTCAACTGAACCCTATATCGTAGCACATAACCAGCTTCTCGCTCATGCCACGGTGGTCGATCTTTACAGGGAAAATTATACGGTGAGATCTCCATTTTGTGAAATGTGTAATCTTAACTTATATCTGATTCTGATTTAATCATATCATCATGTATATATCTGCCTCACCACAGCATCAGGGAGGTAAGATTGGACCTGTGATGATAACTAGATGGTTTCTTCCATATAATGACACTGATCCAGACTGCATAGCTGCAACCGAGAGAAGCAAAGAATTTTTCTTGGGATGGTATTTTTTTAAATGAAATTATATTCTTAGCATTAACATCTCTATAATATTATTTGAGAAGTCACTTTCTTAGGTGTCGCGCTCACGTTAACTCTCACGTTGGTTGATTACTATGATACCCCTAATGAATTAAAATACAATTAAATATTATTTCCTTTTTAAAAATTTCCAAACAACAATTTAAAATAAAAAGGAAACATTTATAAAATTTACAAATTTATTTAAAAACGAAAATATAAGTATATATAATATGGTTTAATGAAAAAAAGGAAAGTTCACAAAATAGTAATATTTAATTTAAATATATTTTAAATAACATAAAATACACCTTTGAAGTAATAAAATACTTTATATCTATATCTTCTTAGATAAAAAAAAAAACAATATATGTATATAGTGTGATTTCATATAAAAAATTCACACAAAAAATATTACTATTAGAAAAAGAAATATTTTTTCTTTAAAAAATATAATTTTAAAAAAAAAAATTTATTTATTTTCAAAATAATTATTTTTGTATATATCTATCTATTTTATTTAGATGATTACATAAAATAAGCAACTAAAATAAACTGATATATGTTTCATTGATATTTTTTTATAAATTATTGAAATTATTTTTTTTAGTAAATTTGTTTGACTATAATATCTTACAATTACAGTAAAAATATAAATTTTATTTTACTTATATAGTATAATTTCTCAAAAACAATCACTTTTTACTGAATATTTTAAGAGATGCTAAAAATAAAAACTTGAAATTATTTTTTTAGTAAATTTGTTTGACTATAATATCTTACAATTACAGTAAGAATATAAATTTTATTTTACTTATATAGTATAATTTCTCAAAAACAATCACTTTTTACTGAATATTTTAAGAGATGCTAAAAATAAAACTAAAAATAAATTTAATAATAAACATCTTTTGATCAAGTAACTACAATTATTTTAAAATATCACAACACTATATAATTTAACGAGATAGATATATTATTTTTTAATAGTTAAAATTATCTGTTTTAAGAATAAGGATTCTGATTTACTTAAGTATATTGATTATGGTTATATTAAGTTTCACGAACATAAAAACAGAAAATAACTACAATTATTTTAAAATACTATAACACTATGTAATTTAACGAGGTAGGTATATTATATTTTAATAGTTAAAATTATATGTTTTCTTAATAAATCTTTTGATTATTAATTTTCTGTTTTTATGTTTGTGAAACTTAATATAACCATAGTCAAAATACTTAAGCAAATCAGAATCCTTATTTTAAAAATTATTTAAAATAAATTTCAGTTTACCATCCAATCTATCTAAAGCATAAATTTATTTAGAATTTATAAAATATTTAATTATTGTAAATATTGATATGAGTTCAAAAGCTTCTAAAAATTCATTACTTACTTATGTATGTAATTTAGAATCAGACACTTTAGTTTTTATTTATTTTTCTTTCTAAGCACAAAAAAATCTTAAGTTATATATAATCTTACTAAATATACTTATATTTCTAAAATAACAACCAGCATAAATGCAAATAAGACAATTAATAAAAAATTAATATATCTAAAATATAAAAGATTATATTTGAATTCAGAGAAATAGATAGAATCTAATATATCTAAATGATAACTAAATCGACCGTAAAAACAATAAAACAGACTAAATATAAGATATCTAAAATTATTTATATAGTTAAAGTAATATAATATAAATTAGACATACAAACTATAAATTAATTTAAAAATTAAAGTAAATATCAATGAATTATTATTGTATATTTATTTTATAAATATACATGTCCGTGCATGAGCACGGGAAAATCACCTAGTATCTTATTATATTAACTGATGAATGAAATAAAATTATATTCTTAGCATCAACATATGTTATATATAGAAACTGATGAATAAAATGTAATCACATCAGGTTCATGGGGCCGTTAACAAATGGTACATACCCTCAAAGTATGATAGATACTGTGGGTGAGCGCCTTCCATCGTTCAATTCAAACGAATCTAAACTCGTAAAGGGTTCATATGATTTTCTTGGTCTCAACTATTACATCACTCAGTATGCCCAGCCAAGTCCTAATCATGTTGATTGGGATAATCACACTGCTATGATGGACTCAGGCGCAACGCTCACTTGTACCACTCTTATCTATTTGCACTTAGTTACAACTTTACCTGATGTATCTCCCTTTTTCATTGACTAATTTGTGACCATCAACTATTTCATTTTTTGTTTACAGATCGTAATGCAAGTAATCATACCATTGGTCCATTGGTATATATGCATGCTCTACTCTCATTCTTTCGTTCATTTTTCAAGTACAAAATCAATTCTTCAGGTTTATATTTGCTTCCCTATCTCAGTTCACTGAAGACAAAGATGACGAGACTAAAAACACCTATTATTACCCAAAAGGCATTTATTACGTAATGGATTACTTCAAAACCAAGTACTATGACCCTTTAATCTATGTCACGGAGAATGGTGAGTTCTACTGCCCATCTTTACATGTTAAATTTAATTTAAAAATGATTCAAGAAACTGACAAAAAAAATAATGTGGAATTTTTTGTGTTATGACGGTTTAATTAGGAATCAGTACCCCCGGTGATGAAACCCGTGAAGAAGCTATGCTCGATTCCAAGCGGATTGACTATATCTGTAGTCATTTGTGTTTTCTCAGTAAAGTTATCAAGTGAGCTGATGCTACTCTGGTTCCATTGTTCTATATATATACATGTATGTACGTATGACCTCGAAAAATTTCATTGTTCTTGCTTTTAGGGAGAAGGTTGTCAACGTGAAAGGTTACTTTGCGTGGTCTCTCGGGGATAATTATGAATTCGGCAAAGGCTTTACCGTCAGATTCGGACTCAGTTACGTTGATTGGAATAATGTCGCCCACAGAGACCCCAAAGAATCTGGCAAATGGTACCAGAAGTTCATAACCGCTGCCATCACGAACCCTGCGAAACAAGTTTTTCTCCGCTCCAGCCTCACCTCGGAGAAGAAAGAGAAATTCGCAGATGCATGAAAGACTCAAACCACTTTATCAGCCTCATCAAGATCATCTTTATGTCTCCCCTTTCTACTTGCTCCATAGATAAGGAGCTTTTACTACGTACTGTACTAAGTAAAAACCTCCAATAATAGAAGATGATCAATATAATAAATACGTTGTGTACTACATTAACTTTGTCAAGTATGGAGCAAAGAACCCAACTATATCTTTATTAGAGGCTTAAACAAAAATCGGAATGAAATTTGTTTATTTTCTTTTAGTTTTAAGATACTTTAATGGTCGGTGAGTGAGTAATTAAAGAAACTAGATTACCATTGTTATAAGCAGAGAAAAGAAAAAAAAAAAAGAATTGATGTGTCTTTATTTTATGAGTAATGGATCCTACACACAGGATTACAATAATTTGGATACAAAGTATAACTTGGAATGATGAATAAATAAATCTAGGATTTTTTATATTGGACATCACACAATATTCATAACACTTTTCCTTGATGTCTATTATACCAAAATGCTTTCAAAATGCCGTAGATGCTGCCTCATTAAAAACGTCATCAGAAAAACCTAATGGGAAAAATCATGGCTAAGAGAAATAGAATGCAGCGCGTAATGACTTCCTCTCATGTGTATATACGTCAAGATTTTTGAGTTGATGTAGTCTGATAAGATGAATTATCTTCTTGAAATTGCAGCGGATAAAGCGTCGGTGAATAAGTCAGTGAAATTGTTACTTGAATGAATTCGTAGGATACGAACATCGTCATTCTTCATCAGGACAAGTGTCTTGATATGAATCACGTTGATTCTTGTTAAAACTCATGATCTCAAAGGATTTAGAAGGGTGATAGACTTTCATCTTTGAAATTATAACATCTTCCTTATCGTTTGTGTGTTCTTTGTTGCCTCATTAAAGTCTTGTCAAGAAAAAATCCAGTGGAATAAAAATGATTATAAGGGATAAGAGTACAACCATACACATTATCACGTTTCTTCCCCTGGAAGAAATATCTTCAAGTATGCATTCCATTTGAGTATATCTCTTTTGGGAATTGAGCTTAAACAGAATAATATCTTTTGATTTCTGTTATAATATTTATATCTTTAGACTTTTGATCTATATTTTTCCTTTGACATAAATATAATTTCTTAGTCTATTTAGATTTCAAGCCAAACATTTTTACATTCATTCATATAATCATACGTCTTATACATAAGAGTTATTCATGCTCTAATTATAAAGTTACTTTTACGACTTTCTTTATTGTCATATGTATTCACTTCTTTTAGTCACATAAAAGATTAGTAACTTTGCTCAAATAACACTTTAAGTATGGTACTTCAAGACCAAACATATATGAGCATCTTAATATAATGATCTTTAAGATAACATCTCATTTTTAGATATTTAGTTTGGAATACATAAACATATTTCTTCCAAAATACAATATTCTATAACTCTTTAGAAATTTTGATTATATTCAAATAAATGATTCTATTGATCAATAATCTCTGGATGAATACAAATCGTGTATTGATTAACTTCCCATATTTGGTATATCCCATAAAAATATTTTGATAGAATAGCTAGAGTTTCCGGGAACATGATTTTGATTTCATCAATCTTTCATGGGTTTTATATTTCAGAGATTATCATTCCCAATGGGTTATATAATTCAAGTTCTTCATTTATTGCTAGACTGAAAAGAAACTTAAACTAGTTGCATTACCACATGAGACTATGTCTTTTCATAATCAATTTCTTATTGATTTTTTTTTGGTGCAACGACTCATTTTTATTCCACTTCTTTTACACCTTTTTGTGTATGGACTACTGATCCAAATACTTATCTCTTTCATAAGAGCTAATATCTTTGTATATTGCTTCTTTCTTATTTTACCAGACATTTATTTTTATACACTTTTTTCAATACACTTTCTTTCATGATCCTCTTTATCATTTATCATGTCAACCACTACTTTGCATGCAAACATTTCATCGACGTCGATTTGCTTATGGTTTCATTTTCTTTCACACATGACTTAACTTATTGAGATCATGTTATTTTCTTAGGTACCTGATTTCTTTTAGTCATGTTTAATATCTCTTCTAGAGATTATTCATAAACTATATTTCCTCCTGGCCATTATTAATTTATGCTCCTTTTCATTTTTGAAATATTTTATCTTTCAAATCAATGTGTATATCACACTCCAAGTGTGAAGCTTATCTTATTGGAGCATTTACAGCCGGTAAATGCGACTTGATCACTATATTTATAAGAGTCAGTAAATGTGTCTTGCAACTGCTTTACTAAGTTCTATCATTAAATTATCTTTTGGACTTCTATTTCACATTGTGTTTAGTCCGAGGATTAGTTATAACTCATTTCCAGCTGTTTATTTATCACCCTTATGTTTAAAATACTAATTCAATTTTAGCATTCATATCGAATCTTATTTAAATCCTTCAGGGATGGCTTTAGATTCTTAAGCATCAATAGAGATTTTATCCAACATATATTTCCAACCTCATTTAAAAACACATCTTAATTAAAGCTCTGTAGTGGAGCAATTGGAATGTATATCGCACATCCAACATTCTTAGATGGAAAATTATTGGTTTCTTACCCAATACCAATGACGGGGAGAACTATTAATTACTTGTTGGTTTGATGCGAATTACTGTTGCGCAAAATGTTTAACACTTATCCCAATGGATTTGTTATAATAGTCAAAGACTTTAAGAAGTGAATTCACCAATATTATAAAGATGCATGGTGGGTGATCAGTCCACCAATATCTCCTTTGTTTATGGCAATAACTTCATTTGGCTGGTGAAAACCATAATGCTCTTTTATCTTGTGAGCAAACAACATATATCAAATTGTTCGAAATAATCTTCTGGTTCTTCAATGACTATTCATATAAACTTTAAGTAACTTTTCGCATCATTCCTGAACCAAAATGGTTGAACTGGTTCATGCCAAATATTTGTAACTCCTGGTTTACTAAATATTTATCTCCACTACACTAATATTTGTGTAGTACAATCTATGAGGATGTAAACAGTTTTTCTAAACACTTTTATTGCCTTGAGAAATATTTTTTTATTTGAAATGTATATAGCATTTCTTTTGCTTATTGTCTCTGCATAAATTGTCTCAAAATCTCTATGAATTTCTTTAAGAAGGATCTATTAATCTCAATTTAGTTAAACATAATATTCTGGATTTTTCACTTATTATAAAATGTGAGATTCTTTAACTCTTCCCTTCGAGATGATAATACTACAAGTTTATTAATCTCGAATGAATCTTATTTTTTTGGATCAAGGACATACCCTACATGGGTCATGTATTATTTCTTAGATCCTTCTAACTTTTGAGACTTATATGAATAATGCCATAAGAATTTTAAATTGCATTTTTATATGCATTAATATTATGTACTCTTCTAGAGAATTTATATATATCATTTTCTTGAATACTCTATAAGATGTATACCAACTTGTATTGTACTCACAATGATTTTTTTATTTAGATATTTAAATCATATTTTTTTATAACCATCTTTTTTTTTCTCAATTTCAAGTGAGAAAATGAGTTCTAAAAAGAAACTCTTTTATCTTTAGATGGTTGAAAAAATATTTTTTCTTTATTACCATTTTTATTTTCTCAATTTCAAATGAGAATAAAAATTATAAAGAGAAAATCTTTGGTCTTAACCTTGACCATAACCATATATTTATCCACAATCACGTCTACAACCACTTTTATTTTAATTTCTTTACCAATATCCTTTGTGTAGATTTTCTTTCTCAAAATATCAAATTCTCTTTAAGAGAATGAATCATAACCAACGAGACGTGATTTATGATCTTACATCAATAGCTCATTGTTTTCTGAGTCTCAAAAAGACAAGATACAAAGTATAAATTTTTTTCCTCTCTTTTCTCAATCATGTGTCTACTGGACAACATTATTTGTGTGAAAAATGTATTCTCATCTTTGCATCATTGAATATTTCCAAGAAAATTTACTTTTAAACTTAACATCTAACATAGTTTTATTCTATTTACAGACTTCATATCTTGTAAATTATTAGATGCAAACTTCAGGTGATTATACATTTCTTTGGATTTTCTCCAGAATTCATGGATCTTTTTAAGATCAAGCCTTAAGCTTAAAACTCTCATATATATATATATATATAATGCTAGTGAAATATAATAATAAACTATTTAAAATTATAGAGATATGTATCAACTATCATCATAAACATTTTATTATATTAGGAAATAAATAACACTCCTATAATCCCCTATATATTATTTGAGAAGCATTACAACATTCTTTGGTAGCCACGTGTCAGTATGAGAATGCTTCTCAAATTTACTAGAGAAAAATATTGGTCCATATAATATACTTTATATTAGCCTAAACATAAAACTATTATTAATGCTATTCATTATTTCCTTAAATAAATTTACGGAATTACCTAATATGGTTACAATATATATATGACAATTAATGATTTGAATATGAAGATTTGATAAAAAAAATTATAGCATCTACTATTTTTGTTAAATTTAATTATAAAAATAAATTAAACAATAACATTAACTATATAACAAAAAATTAGATTTTTACATATGTTATATTTAAAATTTTTACAAACGAC